ACCTATGGTGATGTGAGGATAAAGGTAGTCTTCCTGTGATGTAGGCTGGTAGAGAACTATTATCTTTAAGCTAACTTGTGGCTCAAAAGCCTCTGCAGCCTCTGAGAAGCAAGATATTAAGCGCTGCAGAGTTGTGTCTGTATGACTTATGACGCGGCATCGTCAACAAAAGGTCCTCTCGGATGTGGTGTTTTAGAATCTGTCATGGATATCTGTCGCGTTAGGGGTAACTGTCGCCTTAGGTTGCATAGGCTTCCATTGGTGAATACTGAATGTAAATATCGTTGTCTTATCAAGGTTTGCCATGGCCCTTTTTAGCATCATGATGAAGAAGATTGTGAATAGAGCTGGTATGAGAACGTAACCTTGCTTCCCATCATTGATTATTGGGAAGAGCTCAAGGGGTGCATCGCCATATCTAACTTGGCATGTTGATTCTCATATAATAGCATGATCATTTTCAGGGTTTGGGAGGATATCCTAATTGTTTCAGACTTTGTCACAGGCCTTGTTGTGAAAGTTGTGTTGTGTCGGGCTTTTATCGTTTGTTTGTGCGAAAGGCTTACAGATTTCGATTTATTTTCTTAATACAAGTGGAATCAGTGAAAAGATATTGACGAAACACAAGTAGATGTCGATCACTTGTCTGGGTTTGAAGTCCTTGCAGATATAGTTAAGATTTTGTTGTATGCTATTAGTTGAAGAGTGGTTGGCATGGAAACTAAATCCCTTATATTCTTTATCCTTATCCATACATCTTATATAGTGAGAGTTTGTTTACAACAATCCAAGACATTTAGAACAGACTGACCAGAAGTTCTTTACAATATGATGACATTGACCAGATATTCTGCACAATACACCGACATCCCACGTGAATTTGATTATCAACATGAATTGATTTGCAACATCTCACAACACGAATTGAGCTATATATCTTTACAATGTTGACATCATTTTTACGCTAAAATTATTTCGGTTTTAGCGACAGGCCTTTCCTGCTCACAGTATCGAAAGTTTTGATGAGATTTACGAAGGTTATATAGAATTCTTTGTTCTATTCCTACATTTCCCTTACATCTCTTTCATATCTCTCCTGTTACTTCTGAAGCCACATTGGCTTTCAGGTAGTTCTTGAATAGCGGTACTAATTGATTCAAAAGTATTCTTACTAAGATTTTGTCAACAATAGGGAGCAAGATAACATCTCGATGATTTGAGCAGTCTGATTTTACTCCTTTTTTCTTGTATGAGGTATTAATAATTGCATCACGAAGATCTGATGACAGTTCGCTTTTTTCCCAACAATACACAATTAGGTCATAATTCTTAGCATGGAATGCTTCTTTTAGATCTCAAGTGCTACTCCATGAGCCTCAGCTGTTTCCACTTCTCACTTGCCTTATGACCTTAAGCGTAGCATCTCTGCCATAGTGGGGGTTATATTCAATTCGTTTTTCACCAGCTGTATAATGTGCTGATTTGCTAAACCTTGGACTAAACGGATGGCATTGAAGAGTTTGAAAATGTTCAGATCATCGATTCAGAATGGAAGTTTCATCTGTTAGAAGCATTTGACTATCTGCATTAAGTAGGAAACTCTGAGCGTGGTCCATATACTTCTTGGATCTATATATTGCTTTCAAAACCTTATGGAGTCCTCTATGGTCATCCGAATTTGGCACAATTGAATCTTTCCTGCAAGGTTGATCCACCACTTATTCTGCTTATTTCGAAGTTTCTGTTGGAGCTTACTGCATGCAAGACGAAAGGCTGCTTTTCTGGCACGGTAAGATGGCTGAGCGACGTATGCTTGGCGAACAGTTTTCTTTATTAACAATTTTCAAATCTAGCTTGAAAATTTACCTGGAAGCTATGTTGCGCTGTAGCTGATTTAAGGTTGTTAACTTTGAGCTTTCCTCTTGGAATTTCACTCCTCTCATATTTGGGTTTAAAATAGAGGATTGATTTGCATCGCACAAGACAGTAGTCTGACACTCTGCATAAGGCATCATACGAGTATGACGAACACGGTGAACGTTCTTTTGGCGCACTATGACGTAGTCGATGAGGTGCTAATGTTTGAATCAAGGATGCATCCAGGTTGTCTTTAAGCTATCTCTCTGCTGAAAGATAGTATTTGTGATGGTGAGTCGCTATTCTAAACAGAATTCTTGCAGGAGCAATCCATTGTCGTTGCAGTTGCTAATACCATGCTTGCATAATACTCCTTTCCAGGCTTCGGAGTTCTTTGCAATTCTTGCATTAAAGTCATAAAGATTATGGACAAGACGGCGTAGGTCAATGTAGAATTTATCTTATGGACGATACGTCCCAAATCTGCAAGCTGACCTCACAAGAGTTGCCGAGCAAGACTGTCATTTCCGGGGTGAATCTCGAGCGATTAATGCCTTTTCCAATGTAACTTATCACCTGTCGTCTCCTCCATTGCTTGTCATTACAGGGATCTATGGAAGTAGATGTATCCTTTCGAGCCTGTGCAGAGAATTTTTTAAGTGGGGCTTAGATACGCGAAAGTGGCCTACTCTTCCTAAGGTTATCTGCCATAGCTTAACAAGCTTTGACGATGACGGCGACAGATCTTAGATTTAGTTAATTATCCTTCTCCTAAAATAAGACTTAAATGAGTGCTCTTGCAGGGCTAAAGGAGCTCCATGTGCCCGGGTTTGGGATCACTGTTCTCCTAAGATGGTTTCCCTAAGGTTAGTGGCCCCGTCCTACCTTTGTCTCCCTTCAGTGAGACATAGCTTTTGCATTAAAGTCATTCTGCCAGTGTAATTTATTTAGGAAATGCCCTAAATGGAAACAAACGTATTATTTTTTCTTTGTTACGATATTCAGTTCTAGTTTTTCTTTTTCCTTTTTCTTTTTTTGTTATTAAGCCATTGGAAAATTAGTGATTCGTGTTTTAATCGTATAAATAACAATAAATCGAAGTGAAAAAATTCGTTATTCGATTTGAGAACCTCTCTCAATCTTTGACACAAAATAAACATATAGAAGATAAAAAAGCGATTCAATATAATGAGTTGAGAATAGTCGTCGTTAACTTGACATAAAAAGAGCAGACAACTATCTTAGCCACTCCTAGTGGCGAATTGTTGTTCTGTTCCCTATCCAAAGTATTTAAATCATCTAATTTCATTATGCCAAACTTATTAATTGAAACCAGTGACTGCTAATTTGTTTTTTTTAAAGGTTAGAGATCACTGAAGATGTTTCCTGATCTATCAACGTCTCTTCGAGATAATTCCTGCTGTCATTCACTTTACTTTTCTTAGTTACACCCAAAATTGTGGACATGACGATGGCCGAAGAATAACTTATAGCAATATATTTCAAAAATATATATAATAAGAAAAGGAGCGCAGCTGAATAAGCTAATAATATACATAACATGCGCATATCTGTCAAACATTATCAGTATTACAATTAAAATTTATAAAACTTCCCGTATTTACATATTCATATTTATGTATAAGATTTTCAAGTACTTCTGAAACCTAACTACGGCGGATCAACAACGC